CATAATGAAAACATAATCACAAATTAAATAATTGTCTTTGAACAAATTAAAATGACTAATAATTTAAAGGAAAAAAATAAACTTAATGTTTTTATCTCTTCGATTCCTCTTTGCAGTCGCATTCACCATCCCGTTGATGTTCCAATCAACCCAAACTAACTTGTAAAATTTTGTTAGAGTGAGTATTTAAAAATACCGTAAGATACATGCAATTTCCATACACAATTATATACAATAAAATAAAACGCTTCATACCACTATTCTCTTATGAAGTATATCGGTGACCAAGCGACAACCTATCTTATGTCATCTTAAATTCCAGTAGGATCTCATATCTCTTAATAAAGAGCATGAAGGTCCATTAGCAATTCATGCATAAATTATTGAATATAAAAATATAAGGAAACAAACCACTTGCACAAAAATATCTTATCTTGATTGATCAAACAAACTTTTGAAAAAAAAAATACTAATAATTTATAGCTGCTTTATATAAAAGCTGCCGTGTAAAATTCTTTGGTGGTGAATTGTGGGACAATTGCACACTATTTACAGTAAAAAAAAAAAAATAGTAGTTGAGTCATGGTACAGTTGGGATGGAAAATCGTGTCATATATATATATATAAATTAATTTTTTTTTTGGCTCAAACTTATCTAAATTTAACTTTTATTGAGTCTAAAATACATGATTTAATATGATCTATTCAACAAGTCTAATATTGATTTACTAAATGTCGGTCTATCAATATCTAATTATTTGGTCAAAATAAAAATACATTATATAAAACCAAAAAAATTTATTTTAAAAATTTTCTAGGCGTCACAATATCATTAGATTAATTAACCAGATGCATGTATATGCAACATACAAATTCAAACCAATGTTTATGATAATACATACGAAAAAGAAAACTTTGAATAAATTAAATCATTGGTGCAAGAAAGGTGTTTGACATAAGGAAAATGTGAGTTTTGTAACTTTTCTATGAAAATGTGACATTCTATCATTTTTCTCAAAAAGAAAAGTCATAGTATCTCATTTGAACAATTAATTAGATGTATACGTGTACGTTTTGGAAATTTGAATGTACGAATTCAAGCCCTATTTTATGTTAATACATATGAAAAAGAAAATTTTGAATCAATTATACTGATGTGTGCAAGGTGTTTGAAATAATTAATTAGATGCATATGTGTGTGTTTTTGAAGTTTTAAATATACTAATTGAAATCTATTTTTAATCTAGCATTCAATTCATATTTATTTGAATCAATTCAATTGATGCATCCAAAGTATTACGAAAAAAAAAATCGCAGTATCTATTTAAAGCAATTAACTAGATACATACATGTGTGTTTTTTAAAATTAATATATACGAATTCAAACCTTATTTTAATCTTGCATTCAATTCATTTTTTTTAATCCATTCAATTGATGCATCCAATGTATTTGCGAAAACGAAAATGTAAAAGAGTGACAATCTGAAAAAGCTACATTATTTGAAAAAGTCGCAGTATCTTAGTGGAGCAATTAATTTGATGCATACGTGTGTTTTTGAGAATTTAAATATACGATTTCAAACCTTATTTTAATCTTGCATTCAATTCATTTTTATTTTTTTTTTGAATCAATTCAATTGGTACATTTAAGATTTTTGCAAAAATGAGAATGTGAAAAGTGAAAAAAATTAGATATTTTTTTATTTTAATTTCTGTTTTGGCGTTACCAGTTTGGCCTATTTACGGCCTATTTTATTCGTTCGTCGAGTGAGGTTTTTGTTATCGTTTTGAAGTATTCACGATAAATTTTGAAATACATATTCCGAATTTAAAATCGATAAACGATGAGGTCATAATAACAAGTCAAAAATATCGCAAGAAATGAAATTAATAGTTACGATTTATTTTGCATTCAATAACTAATGCAAAATCATTTTCAACATTTAAACTTCGT